CCCCACGTAAGTGACGCAGGTTCGAGCTTTCCTGGGACTGACATCGTACTAGTACCGACGTTTTATCAAAGGCCTCGCTGCGATTGCGCGACCGCTGACGAACCTGCTACGAAAGGACCAGCCCCTTAGTTGGGACGCAGAGTGCGAACAGGCCTTCGCCACCCTCAAAGGCGCTTTGGCGACGACACCTATTTTGATCCGGCCGGAACCCACGAAGCAGTTCATTCTCATCACGGACTTGCAGCCAGAGGTGATCTCCGCTATTCTGGTGCAGAAGGGGAACGATGGCCGAGAGCGCGTCATCGAGTACGCGTCTCGTACGGTGCCAGACGAACGAAGGACCGATTCAACCTCGCAAGGTGAATGCTATGCTGTAGTCTGGGGAGTTCAGCACTTTCATCCGTACTTGTACGGACAAAAGTTCCTCCTTGTAACCGATCACGAGCCATTATTGGCTCTCAAGAAGCTCACCAATTACATGGGCATGATTGGACGGTGGGCGGTGCGCCTACAGGAATACGATTTCGACATCATCCATCGAAAGACAGAGAGGCACGGTAACGCGGACGGGTTGACACGTCTGCATCACTCCTCTAAGGTGCCAAAGGGCGAAGAAATCATTTCGTGGAAGAAACCGGAGTCAGCGAACGGACCCAAGTACGGACAGGTGGCAGTCCTTCCACGTGGCAAGAAGCAGGTGATTGGCAATGGGTGACAGAGGTAATCCTACAACTCCCCTCTCTCCCCTCTCATTTTCATCTTTTCTCTCCCTACCCGATAAATTTTGTTATTTTTGTGAAGCGATCTTGCGCGTCTACTCGATCTCAATGCGTCCTAGCGGAGAAGGGTATGCAGAATGGATAGATTGTCGGCAGTGTGTCGCACGAGCCCATGGCTCGTGCATCCAGTACAGAAATGGCGATAAGCCTTGGTTGTGTCCCTTGTGTCGGACTGATAAGATCCTGACTGAAGCTCGATTTCTTGACGCCACGTCAAAAGGGTTGCAAAAGACCCGGAAGTTTAGAAGGGCCGAAGTATGGACGGACGTCGCTCTAATTGCCACCTTGGTAGGAAACCCCCTCTAGGACTTCACTAAGGAAGACCGGAGGAGGGTCAATGAAAGAGCTCGGGATTATCGTTGGAACGAGGGCCGGTTAGAAAAACGGAAAACAGATGGTAGCGGGATTTGGATGGTAGTGCCGCACCCGTTTATGAGGTATGACTGGGTTAAGACGGGGCATGAGGAAACGACAGCCCATTTTGCCGTACGGATCACGAAAGCGGCAATCGACAAGAACGAGTGGTATTGGTCTAATATTCGCGATGATGTGAAATTCGTCGTCGCAAATTGCCAGGTCTGCGCTACTGACAAGGCGTCGATCCAGCCGCCAAGATCGATAGTACCGACGGTAGTTGAACTGCCTTTTCAGAGAGTTGGCATGGATACTACCGATATTGTGGTGCCCCCTGGACCAAATAGCTGCGAGTATTCAATCCTACTAGTATTCGTGGACCACTTTTCGAAATGGATCGAGACGTATCCGTGTCGTACGCGACAGGCGGCCGAAATTGCGCGATATGTCAACCGGTTTCGAGGGATGCACCAGGACACAGAGGAAATCCTGACTGACAATGGGGTAGAATTTAGAGGGGAAGTTTTAAGGAATCTGGTCGTACACGGCGTTGCTATTCGGAACACTGCACCCCACATGTCACAATCTAACGGCCTGGTAGAAAACACAAATCGGGTGATAAAGACAGCACTGCGACGAAACATCGTGGCACGGGATCCGAGGCCCTGGCCCGATATCGTAAATCACATCCTAGCGGTCCATCGGGGAACGCCTCACGAATCGACGGGCCTTAGCCCCTTCCAATTACGAACCAATAACGTAGCTTGTGTCTTGATACCGAGCCTTCCCGATGAATCTTTATTGAACCAGCGACCCACAAGAGCCACGGTTTGGGATAAGGCCAAGCGGCACATGAAACTGATGGAACGGTCCGTTTCCCGATTAGCCCGAAAGCGCCAAAAAATGACCGAGTTGGCCCACGGCCGACAGGTCTGTAGCTACGAGGCCCAAAATGGAACGTAGGACCACGGCCCCAGTATAAATTAGGGGACCTGTTGCAGGTGAGGAAATGTGCTCGCCAAGGAAAGATAGCGCCACGATTCTTCGGGCGATTTCGTGTGATCGAACTCGGACAGAACGAGTGAACACCGTGCGCCTCGTGTCGGAGGTCTCGGGAAGCCGATCGGCTCGACCAATCGTACGCCACGTGTCCTACCTACGTCCTCTCCCTCCCTCTCCATCTCCAGCTGTGTCTGCTTCCTCCTTCGCTACGGAAGAGGAAGACGACTCCTTATCGCTATCATCCCCTCCTGCTTCTTACTCCGTCCTCATCGCCATCGCCATGAGTTTCTCACTGAGCGGGCTCTCGGCGATCACATGCTGGCGCCACGTGGCGACATCTTAGCAACTCGGCAAGTTCATCATCCACGATTCAATCTGGAGCTCCTACGGCTCTCGCAGTTCTTCAACACTACCGGGGTATACGCAGCGGCAGAGTTCCGATTCACCGGCCATCATCAAGCGATCGTACTTGCAGAGGCGACGACGGTTTGACGACTGTCAACACCAAGAGTTAGCCACGTATCAACCGTCGTCATCTTCAGCGGTGACATTAGCGCGATCAGCCCTCTGCGACACACGCCCATCCGAACGTCGCTAAGGGAGTGGGGTCAACAACTGGCAGCAGAGTGGAATTAGTGGCTTGCGCGCTGCGACGATAATCTTGTCCCTGCAGACGACATCGAAGTCGGAGGACTCCGGACGTCTCGACACGAGCCCGCGGTGGTGCTTCCTGAGCTCGTCCCTTTCCAGCGTCCTCAATTAACCGATCGCGACTCTCTACCTTCGCTCTCCCCTCTCTCCTCCCTACCTTCTGGCAGTCTGACCTTTGCCCCCATCTCTCTTTTCGTCTGGAACCACTTGCTGTCCCCCTCCTCGGCCGAAGACAGTGGGAACAGTGGTGTGAGCACTTTGTCGATCTTTCCGTGTGTTTGGTCGGAGTGCAACTGACGTGGACAAGGGACGTAAAGCACCGTGCTTGGGTCGCATACTCGGAGCTGTTGATCATCCAAGCATGGAGGACGGAGGTGGAAGGAGACCTTCTAGGATTTCTATTCGGATCGGTGCGTCTCGGCTATCGACAACAGATCGTACAGGAACTCACGATTCCCCTCGCGCAACTGGTTGACGATCTCCCTCTCGATATCATTTCGCAGTGCGACGAGAGTCCGGTCCCACACGTCTTTACACTGGCTTTGACACCCTACCTGCAGTGGTCGGCTTGCCTCGAGGAGTTAGTGGGCAACAACAACCTGCCATCGCAACAACCATACTTGGATCCCCGGGGGATAATCGACCTCGCTTTCTTTCAGCCTCGAACGACCTCCGAAGACGAAACGATAACACTAGAGGAGGAGGAGGAAGAGGACAAAGAGGGCGGCGATGAGGAAGAAGAAGAGGAAACCCGGAAGAGGTAAGTTACAGCGAGCACAGCGAGGGAGAGCAGAGTGACGACGAGGAAGAAGAATACGAGGTGGAAGAAGAGGAATCCGAGTGGGAAACCCTAGGAGAAGAGGCAAAAGGCGCGGTGGAGGATCCCGAGGCGGCGTGGAAGAGAGAAGAAATCGCCGCCAGCAAGCAGCAGCTGGAATACGCTAGCGAGGCGGATCTGCCAATCTCGAACGATCCAGCTAAGGATCCGGAGCCGCCTAAGCCAGAAGATGGGGACCTTGCTGTCGAGACTTCGAGCGCACCGGCCAGGCGACGACGAAGCCGATCCCCCTCCCCCTCCACCTCAGCCCGTCCACCAGTTCGAGCTCGTACCAATGCGGGCCATCGGGCTTTGTCCCCGGTCCTTATCCCGTCGCCTTCTTGACTACCTCACCCTCCGCCAGATCACAACCCGCATCACCTTCCCCTGCAATCCCTTCCCAATTGACACCTTCCGCTTCTTCTACGCCGCCCGTCTTGCTGTCACGGTTCATCCCCATCCTTTTCTACCCGGTGTGCCACCCCTGTCTGTGTCTCCACGCCCTTCTCTTCAGTGCCGCGTGGCGAGGCCACAACATCGTCGAGGTTTATTGCATGATCACGGGGACTATCCCCGCATGCCAAAACCACAATCACTTTCGCACGGCGCTTCTCCGAACTTTCATCACCCTTTACCCCGACTATCTCGCCTCCCTCCCTCATAGTGGTAATCGATTCCCTCGCTTCCACCGGATCGTCCGATATCAGGAGCTTTCGGAGATAGTCGCGGGGTTGGAACGCTTTCTATCCCCACTCCCGACTAACCCACCCTCTCGCCATGCCCCCATGTACCGTCTTCCCTTTCCCCTTCCCTTAGGACATTGATGCATGGTTGATTGCCACGTGCCACGGTGACGGCACGCACGATCCCCTCCTCGGACTGAAGAGAGCCCATCCTGAGGAAAATCATAGGATAGAGCCACATGTGCCACCCTGAATGACTTCCACACTCCTTTGCACGGTTGGTGGCAACGTAGAAAGCTCCGCGTGTCGATCGATTAGAGAGGTCGACAGGTCTCATGGTTCAAGCAAGCAGGAGCTTGCTTAAGATTGGAACCCCCTGGGCGTCGCATATGTGATTAACCAATTTCCGTTCGTGTGGTGTGCAGGTAAGTAAGAAAGACACTTGCGAAAGTGAGACAAAATTTTGCTTGTTCGAATGACGATATGGGACTCCGTTGGTTTCCTTTGAGTGCATGTTTTTTTTAAGGAAAAAACAACGGGCGCTGGCCCTCCGTTTCAGGCTGAAAACTCTGGGTCTGAGAAGACCCAGAAATAGGCTGAAACGGGGTAGGGCCTGCAGGCCCTCGTTTTTCAGCTTTCAGGCTGAAACGAACGGGGCCTGTCAACCCTAAGTTTTAGGCTTTTAGGCTGAATGTCCGGGACGGGCCCTGCAAGGCCCGTGTGGCTACGCATTATGCCACACCCCCCCCTCCTTGAAGAACCGAGCTTACCTGCGAGGGCGAAGCTGTCTGTCTGAGGGAGGGACCACAGTCCGGGTGGGAGGGGCTGGTTGTGAAGCTTCCTGAGCTAACCTCCGCTTTTCATAATGCGTGTAGATCAGCGGTGCGGATGCTTTCAAATCTGCGCCTGAAATCCACCGAGTGCCGTCGCGATCGCATGCTTTGAATGTGACTTTGTACTGCCGCGGCTTGCTGCCGTACTTGCGATCGGAGATGACGCGGTCAACTTCGTGATGGCCATCCATAGAAGGAGGGTCCTGCGATCGTCGGTCCGGAAAGTCGTCGCTCTTGGTTGGCGTGTATGTTGCCAGCTTCGAGGCGTGGAAGACCGGATGGACCGTCAGATGTTCTGGAATGTTGATCACAAATGAAGGGCCATCAGGCTCATTGCCCGCGGCTGCTGTCACAGACCAAGGTCCAAACCACTTGGGAAGCAGTTTGCGTGAAACATCCTGTTCCAGTGCAAACTCTTCCGCGGAGACCCAAACCAGATCACCGGCGAGGATGGGACATGGTACGCGACGCCTGTTGGCTTGCTGCTGCATGCGGACTTGAGCCTTTTGCATATTTGCGCGGGCTTGAGTCAGCAATTCCCTGTACTTCCGGACGGAAGCGAGAGAGCAGGCAGCGTCAATGTCGGCTGGTCGAGGGAGGAAAAGGTCTGCAAAGATCTGGCCTTTCCGTCCACCGTGGTGCAACTCGAATGGAGTCACGCCAATCGCCGGATGCACCGAAGTGTTGTAGGCGAACTCGATGTCGGGGAGGCGTTCAACCCAATCTTTCTGGTCCGGACGGATGAGCGTACGGAGCATCATTTGAGCGGTTTCATATGCCCGCTCCGTCTGCCCGTCTGTCTGAGGATGTCGAGCCGAACTTGGTTTCATTGTTGTGCCGGGCTCCTGCATGCCGACATGAAACCAGTGTCGTGGTCGCTGACAATGTCTTCTGGTACACCGTGGCCACAAATCCAACCAGTGTGCAGGAGGCGTGCCAGCTCGAGAGCCGTGGAGTAGTACTTGCAAGGGAGAAAACGCGCGTACTTACTCAATCGGT